GTCCCTGTGACTCCCAGCCCTGCCGGAGGAGCGCTCAGGAGAGCTGCTGCTCCACGGATGGCTTGAGGGAATTCAGCCTTTTAAAACATTTTGTTACAGCCTGAATCGTGTGGTGTAAAGGAACCCTCCATGTAGAAATAATTCAGCAAACATAAGCGAGAAGGAGAATTGATGATTGCATCAGCTCTTGCTTATGAAAACTGATCCCCAGGAAAATGTAACTCAACTCTCGAGCAATCTCACTTGATGCCCAAGAATGTAATAACTTCATTTGGATCCTCCTTTTCGGGGGACTCCTAAATCTTTGGCAACGTCCCTTAAGGTCATGAGCAAATCCTGATATGGAGAATTGTTTGGCAAGCACGAGAACAGTAAAAGGGCTAAATAATTGGGGATTACCTCTGACCCCGATCTGTGGCTCACCACCCACTGCAGGAATGTACCGAATATCTGAAGGAGCATGCAGGACTCAGACAATTCACGGGCATGAAGCCGTCCACGTACTCTTGAAGCCTGAACTTCAAATGCAGAGCAGGTTGGCCCCAAACCTCATTTTTCATTAGCAAAAGGCTGCAGCAAGCTCTAATTATTTCTGTTGCCTTGGACAAAGGGTCAGTGATGGGACAGATGAAAAATTGTCTGTGTCTTTTTCACCCTTTGTTTGGACAATAACAGCTTGGGTCTTGGGGGCACAGAGGGAACAAACCGTCTGCTCCAGGGCTCGTTACTGAGGCTGCTTACGGTCCCCTGAGCTGCAGCAGGGGACAAACACACCACCCCCAGGTCTTCTGATGGTTATTGCTGAGTTTGTTCGGTGCCTGCAGGAAAGAGCAGCTCTGCTGTGAGAGGTGACAGCTCGGAGCTGTGATTCTGTGGCACTCGGAGCTCCACGCTCAGCGCCGGCTCCCCTCCCGCACTGTGCGCAGGGCAGGGGCAGCACACAGACCCTAAGGGAAAAGGGCAGGTCCTGGCAGGGGGTTGGACTGAGCTGTCTTTAAGGCCCCAAACCATTCTGGGATTCTGTGATCCTGCCCATAATCACCAGGTTTGTGGGCTCGGGTGTCATGTTGAGTGGGGCAGCCCGAAGATCTGTTTTGTGGGAGCCCCATGTCGCTGATGGGGCCGTGGTGTTCACACTGGAAGTGCTGCTGGGAGGAAGCGCTGTAGAGGAGATTGTGGGGGTTTATAGACCTTACATTTATGGCTAGCATCTTTCTGAGGTTCCAACTTCCCTTGGGGTTCTTCCTGGTAACAACAGACACCTTTGGATGGGGGCAAGCCTTGAACAGCCTGTCCCCATCGCCCATTTAAAAACCCCCTGTGCTCTCATGTCGCACCTCCTGCCCTCGGATTCCTCCCGAGGTGGAGCAGCCAGGACTCTGCAGGCAATAGCAGCAGCTCAGTGCTGGAGCTCTGGTGTTTCCTTATCTCAGTAAATGCGCCTTTTATCAGCTGAGCCTGCCTCTACTTGCTCAGCACTCAGCAGGGAAGTGACCACGGCCCTTCAGGAGAGCTCTGCCTTGGCAGGTTGACACAAACCATTCTCATGGCTCAGCATTGTGCAACTGCTGGCGTCCACGAGCTGGCACGGGCTTGGCATGGCATGGAATGCTCTGGGTTGGAGGGGACTTTAAAGTTATCATCATTCCAGCCCCTGCCATGCACAGGGACACCTTCCACTAGACCAGGTTCCTCCATTCAACACTTCCAGGAATGGGGCAACCACAGCTTCTCTGGGAATCTGTGCCAGGGCCTCCCCACCCTCTCAGGGAAGAATTTCCTGCTGATGGTAGGAGCACAGAATGGTTTGGGTCAGAAGGGACATTAAAGTGATTATCTTGTTCCACCCTCTGGGACAGGGGACAGGACAGGGACACCTTGCACTAATGGGCAGGGACACTTTCCACTGGAGCACGTTGCTCTAAACCCTGGCCAGCCTGGCCTTGGACACCCCCAGGGATGGGGTCCTGCCACCCCAAAACCTCCCTGCAGCACCCCCATTTTCCCAGAGCTACATTTTAGCAACTCTCACTTATTTTGTTTTTACTCCCACATTTCCAAACTTCTGCGGCTGCAGCTTTCTCTGGGTCTGTGTTTGTGTCTGAGGCGCTTTGGGGGTGATTTTTTAAATTTATTTTTTCTTGCCTATCTTGGGACTCAGCAGCAGTACTGCACGGTATGGCAGGGCACAGCATGGCACAGTCTGGCACAGTCTGGCACAGCATGGCACAGTATGGCACAGTCTGGCACAGCATGGCACTGTATGGCACAGTCTGGCACAGCATTGCACTGTATGGCGTGGTATGGCACTGTAGGCACGTTGGCACAGTGGCACTGTATGGCACAGTCTGGCACAGTATGGCACAGCATGGCACAGTATGGCACAGTATGGCACTGTATGGCACTGTATGGCACAGTTTGGCACAGTATGGCACTGCACGGCAAGGTATGGCACAGTGGGCACGGTATGGCACAGCATGGCACAGCATGGCTCTGTATGGCACAGTCTGGCATAGTATGGGTCTGTATGGCACAGCATAGCACAGTATGGCACGATATGGCACAGTATGGCTCTGGATGGCACGGTATGGCTCTGTATGGCACAGCATGGCACGGTATGGCACAGCATGGCACAGTATGGCACAGCATGGCACAGTATGGCTCTGTATGGCACAGCATGGCACGGTATGGCACAGCATGGCACGGTATGGCACAGCATGGCTCTGTATGGCACAGTATGGCACAGTATGGCTCTGTATGGCGTGGTATGGGTCTGTATGGCACAGCATGGCACGGTATGGCACAGCATGGCACAGTATGGCTCTGTATGGCACGGTATGGCACAGCATGGCACAGTATGGCTCTGTATGGCACAGCATGGCACAGTATGGCACGGTATGGCACGGTATGGCACAGCATGGCACAGTATGGCTCTGTATGGCACAGCATGGCTCTGGATGGCACAGTATGGCTCTGGATGGCACAGCATGGCACAGTATGGCTCTGGATGGCACAGCATGGCACAGTATGGCTCTGTATGGCACAGCATGGCTCTGTATGGCACAGCATGGCACAGTATGGCTCTGTATGGCACAGCATGGCACGGTATGGCACAGTATGGCTCTGTATGGCACAGCATGGCACGGTATGGCACAGCATGGCACAGTATGGCTCTGTATGGCACAGCATGGCACGGTATGGCACAGCATGGCACAGCATGGCTCTGGATGGCACAGCCCAGCTCGGCTCGGTCCA